GGAATTAAGATGGAGACCCTGCACCTGTGCTCTGCCACCTACAGACTACAGTCCTCTCCCCAATAATATTTATCACTGTGGTGCTACTATGGAAGGCTTATTTCCATGATATGCTCACAACAGGATTAGCAAACACACCAACTATGGTACCAGGTGCAAGGAGAGATTGTGATCACCACTACAACACTTGGGGAAGAGATGCTTAACCTTTTCCTTCCTTGGGGCCAGAAAAAAAACACAACCCAATGCAGCAATTAGCATTATTTTATAAAACATTAAGATATACTTTGTATGGCTTTGTATAATGCAAATGGCCACATGAGAACAAGGTGGTTTTTATTGAAATCATTGCTGGGAGGGGGTTAAACCTCCCCGCCTTGTGCCCTGCAGTGCCAATCACACACACCCCCGGCCCCCAATTTATGTTTATTAAAAAAAGAAAAACCTGCAATGTGATTGCCAATCACTTCACTAATGTTACTGACTGAGCTAGAATCTAGACACATATAAAAAACGCTGTGAAAATGGTTGGGTTTTCTTTACAGTTTTGAAAAATACAGCGGTACCTCAGGTTAAGTACTCAATTTGTTCCAGAGGTCCATTCTTAACCTGAAACTGTTCTTAACCTGAAGCACCACTTTAGCTAATGGGGCCTCCTGCTGCTGCCGCTGCGCCGCCAGAGCACGATTTCTGTTCTCATCCTGAAGCAAAGTTCTTTACCCGAGGTACTATTTCTGGGTTAGTGGAGTCTGTAACCTGAAGCGTCTGTAACCTGAAGCATATGTAACCCGAGGTACCACTGTACCATATTTTTCCGTATATAACACAACCCCATGTATAAGACGACCCCTTCTTTTGAGAGACCAAAATTAAGAAATCAGTATTTTAAAGTTGTTCAGCCTTTTTGGGAAATCATCAAAAAGCTGTTGAGCTTTTTGCCTCTCCAGCTTGCATCTGGCTTCACCTCACCTCAGCTGGTGAGAGCCGGCCAAGCTCCCTCCTCGCCTCAGCAAGGCCTCGCCTCTCAAGCTAGCTCCGTGGCCAAGCACTCGCTGGAGCCACCAGCTCACCCAAGACTTAGAATATAAATCAGTGTATAAGATGGGGGCATAGCTGTCAACCGTCCCTTATTTGGCGGGAAAGTCCCTTATCCCAGCGCCGTGTCCCGCTGCTGTCCCTTATTGATGATGTCCCTTAAATTTCCCAGGTTTCAAAGGAAGCAGCTCCTCTCCCTCCCTCCCTCCCTGCCGGCCAGGGAGGAGGGAGGCTCCAACTGTGTTGCTTGGCTGCGTTGCTCACCCAATAAGGAGTCTAAGAATGACTGGGGGGTGGAGCTTGCATGCCTTGTGCTGAACAAGGGGACTTGTTGCCTGGGGACTCGCCTTTGCTCAGCGCTTCCCAGCGAGAGGTGATGGTGGTTTTCCTTGCTGCATCCCCTTTGCCGGGTTGCTGCACTGTGGGAGCCACCGCTCGAGGCTTTGTTTGGCTGCTGGCTGGGCTTTCTGCCTTTGACTCGGAGGAGCTCAGAAGTTGAGCATACCTGCGCTCCGAAAATCTCTTATTTTGGCTGCTGATCCCTTATTTTCAAGGCTGCTGGTCCCTTATTTTCAAATCTGTAAGTTGACAGCTATGGATGGGGGGGGGCATTGTCTTGTACACGGAAAAATATGGCATATTGAATTTGCTCACCATCGCCATCTAGTGTCACACTTCTATAATGCACTTTAAACACACTTAAAACGTTCTATTTGCAGCTGTATAGCTGAGTCCTGAATCAAAGCATTGTGGGTAGGGAACCTCAGGCCCACCAGGAACCTCTCTCCAGTCCTTGGGACATTGCAGGCCACAGTCCCTCTCTCTTCATTCGCCCTGCTCTGTGTGCTAAGTGATTGCTTTGGCCTGGTTGGAATGTGCCCTTGACCTGTGAAAATGCCTCTTGTTTCCCTGGATGGGGGATCGAGAGGCGTGTGTATGCATGTGTGTGCAAATCTCTGGCTTTTGACTGGGAAGAACATAGCCCCACTGCACAAAGGCAAGAGTCACTTCCATTGCCCCTCCCACTTTTGATTCTGGCCCCGCCCACCAATGGTCTTCAGTTCCCAGAAGCTTGCCTACATGGGAGTGGCTGCTCACCCTGGTCTAGCCAGAGGCATCCAGCTGGCTCCTAAGGGACACAGGCTGCTGAAGCAGATAGGCCTTGTTCTGCTGCGGCACAACAATTCGTATGCGCCTACATATTGGCCACAAAGCTCGTTCTGGCTCCTCCTCAGACAGTGATGAAGAGGCTGGCATATTCTTTTACGGGGAAGGGGCTGTTTCGAGTGCTTCAAACAACTCGGCTGTTGGCATTTGGTAAGCTCTTACATTCCTAACCATGCCCTGGGGGGCTATTCCCTTTTACAAGAGATTTATTTTAAAGGACTGCAACCGCCAAGATGTGCATTATGGTCCCCTTACACATGTATTGAGCCTCGGGCTCAATAAAGAGATTTTAAATAGTCGAGAATTGATGTCTGCTTCAACTGGGCTTTTAACTGGATATGTTCCATTGAATCCTTCTGCTCATCACTGGGTTCTTACAGTATTTGCTTGGGAAAGAGATACAGATGAAGGTTGGCTTCATTTGAACTGATTCCTCTTGGGTCTACCTCCTTTCTGTTTTTAACCTCATAATAACCCCATGAACTCTCTGCAGGACACACACCCATGGCCCTGCCAGCCCCTGCAAGTGCTTTTGCTTGGCTGGAACACATCTTTGAACTCTGATAAGGCCTCTGGCTTGTCTGGATGGAGGAGAGATAGGTGTGTGGAGTTTATCCCTCACAGAGCTACAGTTCCCAGCACACTGAACAAACTAGAGTTCCCAGAATTATTTAGGGAAATCATGTTCTTTAAATGCCTGGTGTTTGTGCAGTCACAGTTCTAGAATGGATAATCTAAGACAGGGATGGGGAACCCTTTTTAAAAAAAATTCAAGGACCACTTTCCATTGGGGATAATCTGCCAGGGGTCAGATATTGGAGGTGGTTGGAGCCAGGGCTAAAAGTGGACAAGGCCCAGTTGGAAAGGGGGTGAGGCACCCTGTTTCCTCTTTATATCTCTTTCTGCTACCCCACTTCCTCTCCTTGTGATATGCCTGAAATTAGGCTGAAGGCACACTGGTCCCTGACCCCTGCTTAGGGGGAGGGAAAACACACTCTCTCATGCACACTAAAACTCCTTATAGGAGAAAAGATTTGCAACAGTGCTTTGAGACTGAAAGTGACCTGAGAAAATATGACTATGAAATACAACTATATGGATGGGATTTCTCTCTCTCTCCCTCCCTCCCCAGTGCTGCTTAAAATGTAGCAACATCCTTGGTGAGAGATGACCACTTTCTTGGCAGTGAAACTTGGCCCAGAGAAGGTACAGCTCTGAATAACTAACTGAGCTCTCTTGATCTTGGAGGCAACAGCAGGTAAGTTGCTTGGCCCAGGTTGGGAAGAAGAGGTAGGCAATTGCCCCTGATATGAGCTGTGATAAAGGGTGGCCTTGGGCCCTGAGCACCAACTATTTGCATCGCACCCCAGATTCCCTTCCCCTTACTTTTTAAAAACTCTTCCCATCTTTATTTGTAGAGATATCTCTACATAGAGCATTCAGGATATATTTATCATAGTTCTATCCCAAACAAGGATGGGGGTGGGTATGTCATAGAAACATAGGAAGCTGCTTCATACCATCAGAACATTGTTCCTTCTAGCCCAGTATTGTCTACACTGACTGGCAGCAGTTCTCCAGGGCCTCAGATGGGGAACATTCCCAGCCCTACTTGGAGATGCTGCGGATTGAACTGGGGATTTTCTGCATGCCAGGCAGATGCTCAGCTATTGGCTACAGCCCTTCTCCAACCTACGGATGTCAATTTTGGTTTCTCATTCTTCTCTCCTCCCCCCCATCTAAAGTTCAGTTCTCCATGTTTCCACATCAGTTTGCTATATATATATATAATTATTTTTTTAAAGTCCTCATGAAGATTCATCAGCATTCTACTGTGAATTTCTCCTAATAGACACATGTGTATGTCATTTTGCCTAATAGACACATTTTTGCAAAGCAATTTCCCCTAATGTGATGCTTTTGTTTGTGTGTGTTATGTTCACTAATATATGCAGATTTATGCACAGTTTATGCATTTTGTTCTTGGCTGGACCACACTGCAAAATTCAGAGAAGTGCACATTTTGAAGGATGGCTTTCTTTCCGTTCTCAGATACTTTCAGAAAGTGCGGGTTAGGGATGTTCACCTTGAAATGCGAAGGGAATCAAATCTCCCCCCCATCCCTAAGATTCCTAACTTGCTTCCCTCATGGAACTCAGGGTGGCACATACCAGGTTTGCAGGCAGTCACCCGCCCAGGTACAGACAGAGCCCAGAACTTCTTAACTCCCACAAGGTTGGTGTGTCACATGCCTTCAGATCAGGCCCTACTGGCATCTGTTAAAAGGGGGGGGCAGTTCACTCAATGGATGCAGACCCACCTGAACTGATCCAACCACCCTCAGACACACTCAAAGAGAAGCATGCGAAGTGTGGCAGTGATTCAGCAGTGATTCACATAAACCCTGCCGGATCAGGCTCATAGCCCATCTAGTTCAGCATCCTGCTCATACGGTGGCCAACCAGATGCCTGTGGGAAGCCTGTAGGCAGGATCCAAGCACAAGAGCACTCTCCCCTCTTGTGGTTTCCAGCAAATGGTATTCAGAAGCATTACTGCCTCAGTTGTAGCCATTGATAGCCTTCTGCTCCATGGATTTGTCTAATCCTCTTTTACAGCTATCCAAGTTGGTGGCCATCACTGACTCTGGTGGAAGCAAATTCCCAAGTATAGCTATGCATAAAAAGTAAAGGTAAAGGGACCCCTGACCATTAGGTCTAGTTGTGTCTGACTCTGGTTGTTGCGGCACTCATCTCGCTTTATTGGCCGAGGGAGCCAGCGTACAGCATCCGGGTCATGTGGCCAGCATGACTAAGCTGCTTCTGGCGAACCAGAGCAGCGCATGGAAACACCGTTTACCTTCCCGCTGGAGCGGTACCTATTTATCTACTTGCACTTTGACGTGCTTTCGAACTGCTAGGTTGGCAGGAGCAGGGACCGAGCAACGGGAGCTCACCCCGTTGCGGGGATTCGAACCGCCGACCTTCTGATCTGCGTGAATAATTGCTTTCTTTTATCTGTCCTGGATCTTCCAACATTCCATTTCCTTGGATGTCCCCAAATCCTAGTGTTAGGAGAGAGAGAGAACAACTTTCTTCTATTCACTTTCTCCATACCATGCATAATTTTTCCAGCTCCTGCCGTGCCACCTCTTACTCACCGTTTCTCCAAACAAAAAAGTCCCAAACCCTCATCCTACCTTCTCCCCCAGACATGGTGACTCAACTCTTTATCTACATGTGAAATATATAACTGGTGTATGTTAATTGGTTTCCAGAAACACTTGATTCATCTAAGAGCATCTCTTAGAAAAGAAGGTGCCCCGCCGCCTCACTGCCCCGCCTTGGCTGCTGGAAGCAGAAACTTGAGATTCCAGCGTGCCCATGCTGGGTGGGGTATGTGCTTGCTGTTTGCACTCTGGCTATGGGAACAAGGAGCCACCTGAAGTGGATTAAGAGCTCCTTGTAACTTGTGTTAGCTAGCCTGCTCTCTGTGTCTTTGTTTTCTTTACATGCCCAGTTTTACATTCTCTTCGATTTGCTTCAAATGAAGCTCTCCCTTGTTGGAGATGACAATGGAGTTTTAACTGGGGTGATTCAAAACACTCAGCCTACAGAAGCTTCCTATCGCTGAGTAATCTGATGCTGCTTGGGGAGAGGGTGCACATGACACTCCACCCAGGGATGCTACCGTCTGAAACCACTTTCCCAAGGTGAGCAATTCTCCCTGGCTCTCCGTATTTCGAAAATCAGTTACCCTGCCCAATGCTCCTTGCTGGATGTTGTTGATGAGAGGGAGAGGAGAGGGATGGGCAGGCTGTGCAAAGTGCACTCCAAAAATAATCTGGGGTGGAGGTGGGAGGATTGACCTGGTTTGCACGTAATGCTAAACCAAAACATGGCTTGGTGCAAACTCATGAGTGTGCAGGATCATGGAGAGGAGATTGTATCTGCTTTGCTTCTCCTTGGGGAAGGGCTGTAGCTCTGTAGTAGAGCTTCAGCTTTGCATACAGAAGGTCCCCAGTTCAATCCCCCACATCTCCATGTAGACACTACTGAGCTAGATGGACCCAAGGGTCTGATTCAGTTCCAGGCATATTCCTATGTTCTTCTAGTCCTGTTGTTGCTGCAAGCTAAGCCATGGTGAGCATGTCATCTGATCTTGGGCTCATGGTTTGTCTCACACCAGACAAGCCACAAGCTACAGCAACCAAAGGTTGTTCGTGGTTTGTCTAGAGGAGACAAACCCAGGTTCAGACAACAAGATAAGCCAGACCATGCAGTAGGCGCAGGATCAGAAAAAAAGCAAAGTTAATGTGATCTCTTATCCAGGAGTCCGCATGTTCACTGAGCCATGGTTTGGCTTAGCATCACATGTGATTTGAAGCACTGTGCACAAAATTAATTTAGATTCCAGATTAGATTCAGTTAATGCCCTTATGGCAGCTGTGGGGAGCCCATGCCCCCCCAATGTTGTTGGACTCCACTTCCAATCAGCCCCCAGCCAGCATGGCCAAACTTTGGGGCTGATGGGAGTTGTAGTGCAGCAACTTCGGGGGGGGGACACAGGCTCCCTATCTCTGCCTTATGGCAATGATATCATATAGTGCCATCCCAAGATATTTTGCTGACTGAGCAGGAGCAGCAAAAGCCCTCTGTCCAAGCCAGTCACACTGTATAGCACCCAAGTCCAGCCAAAATATCTGGCACCAGAGGCAGAAAATCCTGTAAGCAGTAAAAAAACAACAATAATACAACCATTTTCTGCCCTTACATGGCTCCCCAAATCAGCTGCCTGAGGCAGATGGTGCAGGGGGGGTTGTGGTCGATATGGTGCTCTCCAGATGTTGCTGGACTACAACTCCCATCATCCCTGACTGCGGCTGATGGAAGTTGTAGCCCTAAACATCTGGAGGATACCATACTGGTTACACATGCCACAGCAGGATCATGAATGCACACTCATAGCATCATCACAGCCATACAAATAACGCATTGAACCAGAATTTGCTGTCGCTCAATGGGAGAGCATCTGCTTTGCATGCAAAAGATCCCAGATTCAATCTGCCAGCATCTCCAGGTAGGGCTGGGAAAGATTCCTTGCCTGAAACCCTGGAGAGCCGTTCCTGGAGAGCCAGTGGGGGTATTCCTGAGCTTGATGGATCAAGGGTCTGACTCATAAGGTAGCTTGCTACCACTACAATCCTGTTTCAATAGAGTTCACAGATCGGTTGACTCGTAAAACCTACCCAAAGTCTTTAGTGTGCAGGCTTCGCTGTCAACTCCATCTGCTGCAGAGGTTTTTCATGCGATAACCAGGAAATGTGTGCTAAGCAGGGTGAAGCCTGTGGCAGCCTCTCTTGTCACATGTCTGTTTCCTATGACCTCTCTGGGGCAAGTGCCAGGCGCAAGCTGGTCCTGAGATAACTCTCTTTAGCGGAGACGGCTGCAGTGTAGGAAAATGATACCAGTCTTAAAAATAGGAATGGCAGCATGAACAACAAACCGATGCCTGGAACTCTGTGCATTAAAATATAGCCATTGGGTGTCTGGGTGTCCTCCTTTATAGGGGGCAGTCCACTCTCTGCCCAGGTTCTGTCCTCTGTAAAGTAGGGTCCACAGCCACCCCGCCTGGAAAAGAGGACTGTCCAATGAAGAACAGTTGAAATGGGAAATAGGCAAATCTGTCATTTTTTGTTTCTCCCAGTTTCTCATTCTTCTAGTCTTAAGTACAGTTCCCCACATTTCCACATCAGTTTGCATTGTTGTTTTCATGAAAACCCCTCAGTATTTTAATGCGAACTTCTCCTAAGATGCACATATTTATATGCAATTTCCCATTTTTGCCCCTAATACAATGCACTTTCGTAAGTTATTTTCACTAAGATATGCATTTTTTAAACTGCACACTTTACCCTAGTATATGCATTTTTGTCCACATTGCCTGGATGGAAAACCGCACTTCAAAATTTGGAGGAGCACAAACTTTTGAGGGATGGCTATGTTTTGGTTTGCATGTTGTTGTTGTTTTGGGGGGGAGTGTGAATTAGCTTCGCCTTTAAATAGGAACTGAATTTCTCCCCCACCCCTTACTACATAAAACTGCTTTTTGGAAACTTCAGCTGGTTGAGGGGTAAACAAACCAATGCTGGCTGGCTGAAGCCTAAGCAACTGTAAGGCTGCAGTGCTCCATCCCCTTCGCTGAGCATTGCCTCCACCACACTCAATGGGACTTAACTTCTGCAAACACATGTATAGGGCTGCTGTGTAAGGGGAGTAGGTCAGCTCACTCCTGTAACTATTTTTCTCAAGATCTTTTGATCTAATCAGATTAATCCCTGGATCAGTAATGGCTTTTCTTATTTATTTATTTATTTATTTATTTATTGTTTTATTTACTTATTTATTGTTTTACACGGGGAGCCTGTAAGAAAGACCTTGGAGCCGTTCCATCCTCAGGACAAATGGATGTGTCCTTGCGATGTTTAGAGGCTACCCAAGGAACATCGCACACCCCTCCTTCTTCCCACCCCACTTCCCCGGTGGCCCAATAAATATGTAAAAAGCTGCAGAGACCGATTTAATCAGGAGCAGAGAGGAGGCAGAGCCGCCCTGGGATCGGCAGATGATGAGAGAGGGGAGCCGTTCCCTGCAAGAGTGAGACAAGGCCTTGGACCAATCTGCAACATTTTCAATCATTTCTCGTCTTCTTCCCCCCACCCCTCCCCATCCCCGTGCACTAAACTCATTTCATTCTGCCAGCTTTTATGGCTGTGGGGATGATCTATGGAGACACCAGCATTACTTTGGTGTGTGCCAGCCACATAAATACTCACAGCCAGGGGATAGGAAGCGGGGGGGAAGCAACTCTGCCCTGGGGAAGAAAGAATAACAACCAAGGAGACTGAGATATATATGTGTATGTGTGTAAGAAACCTCATGTTGCTTCTTTGCCCTGCATTGTTGCACATGCCTCCAGGACTGCCCCCACCGACAACTGCTTCATGGGGTGGCTGTGCATGCCTTTAATAGCAACTTGAGCCTCAGACTGAACCAGCCTGAGATAGTTGGTTAGAGCATGGTGCTGATAATACCAAGGTTGCAGGTTCGATCCCCGTATGGGGCAGCTGCATATTCATTCTTGTATTGCAGGGGGTTGGATTAGATGATCTTCACGGTCACTTCCAACTCTATGATTCTATGAGACATTTTGGCACTTGAGGTGAACCACAAAATGCTGCCCCCACCAGGTAAGAAGGAATGAGTGAATAGCTACATCAGTAACGAGGGGGGAATAAAAATCCTACATGAGGATCTGCTGCTCCTGTGGATCCTGCCCCACCTTGCCTCATGAGTGGGCCGGCCCACTCATTAATCTTGTTCACATGTTACGTTGAGCACAGATTCAAGTCATCTCTACACATGTACAAGTGTTTGTGTGAAAGAGTCTCTTCTTGTTGATTCATAAAACTCACCTGTTTGTGTTGACAGGAATGCAGATTGTCCACTGGTTGAATGTAAAATGTGAACACCCCTAATATCACCTGCTAATCAGGAATGGGCAGTGTGGTGGGGCGATGGAGCTCATCTGACCTCCCAAAGGCTGAGTTGCTGCTGCTTCCCAGGAGGAGAGGGGGGAGAGGCGGTGTCAGGAGAGGTTGGCACAGTGCAAACACACTGGCAGGAGAGCCAGAGAGGCTCCGTTAGTATGTTTGCACCGCACTGACCTCCCTGCTTCCTCCCCGCTCCTCCCCAGTAAGGAGCAGTGACATAGGTGTTGGGAAGTCAGATTAGTGTCACCACCCCGCCACACTGTCCGCTACTCTGGCTAATGTATGCCTATCAGGCTTCTACAAAGACATGTTGAAAAGTTGGTAAGCATGCTAGTCAGTTGCAGCAGAAGCTTGTCAGTATTCCAATTTTTCATCCTTAAAAAAACATGGCAACATGACGAACGTTAGCTGGAGTTTTGGGGATTTGTTTATGAGTGTGGAATCCCTTTGTAGTCAGGAGCACTAAGTGTTTTAATTTAAGCCCTTTCTCTCTCTTTCCAACTACAGGCACATTCTTTAGTGCTGATTAGAAAGTCTGATTTCATTGCAGTTATTTCTTTAATAGCTTTTATGTGCCTCTGCGTCTGCCTCCGACTCGCCCCCTTGCATACAGAAACATGCACACACCCACACAGAATGTGTCTGCCTCTGTCTCGGGGGCATTCGTTTAAATTAACAGCTCTGATTCTCCTGGGATTTTCAAACAATATTCCAAAAAGCCCTGTGATCCCTCAGAAATGTCCTAGGAGTATTGCAACGAGAAGATCAGCCATGGTAGAGAAGGATCTCTGAGAAAGCTGTGCCCAGCATTACTGATTTCCTCAACAGCCTGTTGCAGAAGAGATGGAGGCAATGGCCCAATCTGCATTATATATTTAAATCAGTATTATACTGCTTTAAATAGTTATGGCTTCCCCCAAAAGCACCCTGGAAACAATAGTTTGTTTAAGGCGCCGACAGTGGATCTTTTCATGGCAGGATGAGAAATAATATTTATTTCTTACACTTTATGCTATCCTTCCTCCAACAAACTCTGTTTGGTTTCTGGCACAATTTAAGCTGTCAGCATGATTACTTTTAAAGTCCTACTGCTGTTTCACCTAAAAGGCAGTCACCTTCTCTCATGGGGAGCCTTTTAGGGGGCAAATTGGGAGGAGCAACAGGTGTGTTTCTTTTCTTTGTGCACAAACACCAGAGGTTTCTGCGTACAGTCGCAATCTCGCTATCCAATGAAGCAAAAAGTGTTATCACCGTTCAAAGATGCATCCCACCCAGGAAAAAGCACTTGAGGAAGATGTGAAGCAGCGCTTGTGAGGACTATAACCTGGGAGACATGGCCTAGGAAAAATCTTGGGGGCCTGAGGTTCCCCATTCCTGTCCTAATGGCTCAGGCCAGGGATACCTGAAATACTGTATTCTGCACCTTCCTGCTTGCTCCCTATGATCTGTTGGAGAGGCTTTTCTTCATGGCTGAAACACAATTGGTTGGACTGAGAGAGAGGGCCTGATCTGTAGCAGTGCCCAGATGACAGTGTGGTATAGTGGTTAGGCTGTCAGCCTAGGAATAGGGAGAACCAGGTTCAAATCCCCACTTGCCCTTGAAGCTCACTGGGCGACTTTGACCCAGTCCCTGTCTGTCTGCCCAACCTACATCAAAGATAAGGGGAACAGTCAACAACAATGTATGCTGCCTTTTGCTCCTTGGAGGAAAGTCGGAGTGTAAATGTCCCAAAGAATCAACTCATTTAGGTCTATGAGAATTGTGTGCACAGCTGTAGCTGGGGCTGCATTTCTGGGTGTGTTACCCTTCCTCTAAACTAAAATCTACTAAAGTGCTCTTCAGCTGAGTTGCAGTTCCCCTCCACATTTTCCCTCCCCAAACCCTACATTTATGGCTCAGGCTACATTTAGACCTCACCAAAGCTCCCCCTGTACTCTTGCTTTTCACCACTGCAAAGGCTATCATTAGAGATCTGGCAGGCACAGCTAACCTCAGAATGGGGAGGCAGAGGGGCCCCTCTAGGACTGCAGGGAGGGGGGGCCTTCTTAGGGTCTGGTCTGAGAACATAAACAGGAGACAGAACAAACAGGCTATGTTGCAGATTCGGACATGTGCTACGACCTGCCCTCTCCATCCTTTTAGGCAGTAAACTACGTAGCTCTAGAAAGTGTCCATATAACTCTCACTCTTCTAAGTTTTCATTCTTCTTCTTCTGAGGAATGTTATTGAAAGAAACAAAGGATGGTTCTTTCCTCAGATTTTGAAAGTAAAGCTATCTGGAGAGAGCAGCATTGCCTCCAGACTGCCATTATTTTGCAATGGGGATTTAAGTGCATATTGGCTATTTAGGTTTCTGCAGTTAAAATGAGGCTCTTCTGGATTATTTGTTTATTCAGCATCCATCTTGATTTGCTTGCACAAACATTACACAGTGCTTAGACTAGGGACTCAGCTACACTCAGTCAGTTATATCGTTGTAACTCCATTGTAAAGATAAAACACCAGATGGAACTGCAGAGCAAAAGCTTTGTCTATGTGATTTTACATAGGGTTGGTTTTGTTTTGTTTTGTTTTGCTTTTGTCATGATGATCTAATTTATTACTTATTTACAGCGTTTTTCCCCTGTGTGTAGATCCAGCCTTGGTCCAGTCTTCACTGAGTATTTGTTCTGATTTATTTCTGGGGAGGTTATATGGCAATGAGCATTCATCCTGCTTTGCTTGTGGGGTGCTTATATGGCTTCCCATTATTCATTCATACCACACTTTTCAGCCCATTTCCTCATTACTTTCCAGACCATAAAAAACCAGCTGTTTTTTTAAAAGTAGATGTGTTGTACTAGGGGGTACAGAGTACT